TTCGGGTATACTTGCTTGTAAAGTCTATTCAAATGGAAACAAAACAACAGTGTTCACGAACTCAAAAATGTGTTTCCACCATTTTCGATTGAGAACCCTAAAGAGCCTGATTATATCCCAAATAAATTTAAATTAAAAGAGGTCACACTAATAATAACATTAAAAAGAAAACAAGTAAGGAAGCGCTTGTCGACCACATCGAAGCAACACGTTTCCTGGCTTACCTGCGTTAGATGATTTCGATGACAACTATCCTGAACCTTACCACTTAAGCATGGTCTAAATAACCGCTGGTACAAGATCAAGCTAAAGCTACGACAACAAGAATTATTATACAATTTTTCCCATAAATTATAAGATGCTGTGAAGGGTAATAAGTAAAGGAACTCATCGCCTATAAATTAATTGGATTTCTTTTCGCGGAAACTTCACGTCGACAAATATTGGAAAATACTCAATAGATTGGTGATTTAACCAAACGTTTTTCATAAAATCTTACAAGAAGTCAGTGGCAACAACAGGACGAAATGCCTCGGTTCTCACACCTTCCGGCATCCAGCTGAAATACGGAAACACAATTTAAATGACTAAGAAATAGAATTACCCTTTTTCGAGACCTGAGATCTAACTATAAGAGCATTTGTGGCTGCACAAAGCAATGTTCTCAATAGCCTAAGTGTGATCTTTTCGCTTTCCTTGAGGATCGACATAACGATAACCTAATCTACCGTAAAAATGGTTTCTTACGCTACTACAACAATAACCTATGCATGTTTTTGCAAAATTTCGCACAATGTAGATCCATAATTCGTACAATGTAGAAGCACCATATTTTCGAAAAAAATACGTCACTAACTTCACATATTCTTAATTCATACAATCACATAAACGGTAATCGTCCGAACATAATTCCTCTTAAGCGCCTTTATACTCTTTTTTCAATTTATTTCTTCCTTGAAATGCCACCTTTCTCGAAATTCCAAAAATTCACTCACAATACATAAGCACAGGTACATGTACAAATATTGACTGAAAATTTTTAGCAAACAACAAAAACAAACTATCAAGTGGCGTTTTCATGCCTTTGATTATTGTCTTTCGTTGCCGATATGATTGGCGCTGATGTTCGTATAATCGTTTTCTTGTTTGTTTAGCTGTCGGTTTATTGTCCCAAACGTACATACATATATGGCTTACATTTGTACCCATCAGCCGAGCGTCACATCGGCCGATCAACACGCTTGCGATTACGCGTGAGTTTGTATGTGAATTTAACTACTTTGCTCCCTAATTTTTTATTGTTGTTTGTTTTATGACTGCTTATTCTGTTGATTTCTCTATACACTTCCTTCTTGGTAGTGTACATTTAGGTGTGCGTATGTGCGTTTGTGTTTATTTATATACTTGTTTCGCTGAATTAATGGATCATTCTGTTTTGGGTTGCGTTTATTTGCGCATTTGTATGTGTAAGCGGTACAAATTATAAATGGGCCTTAATGAGTTTATGATGCCCAAACATAGATCTTATCGGTTTTGTCAACCTGCACGACGACGACTTAAAACACTTTCGTTTGTAAGATACATACATATGTATCTAAATAGTTTATTAGTAGCTGTTATCGCTTAATTGTTACAGATGTTTACACGGCTTCTTCTTCCACCTTGTGCCGGACCGCCTACGTGTAGGTTATGTATATTTATAAGATTCGTGCTTTGAGTCGGAAATACATTGTAATTTTTCAAGTAGTTTAATACAAATCTTTATTAGCTAGCATTGAGAGGCGTCGATTCATAAGAGAAGTTGAGGGCGCGCTTGTAGTTTATATGGAGTAATTTCGAGCCGATCGGTTTTCTATATACTGTAATCTAATCAAGCCAATAATGTTCTATGTTGTAAACGTCTGTCGTAGGGCGCCGGAAAAGGCTACATTTGCTAAGCTTAAACTCGTTCAAAGAGGAGCTCTCTGATGCACTGCGGACTACATACACAACAGCACTTAATTCAGTTTTTCAAATAGCATCAGTGGACATTGCTGGTAAATGCATGCTTAGGTGTCCAAATAAGGGCACGCCCTTCACTTCAATTGCTTTCCTTTGCTCACATCCTGACGAGGGATATGTAGACGGGGAGGAGTAGCTGGAAGAGAGACGCGGTGGCGGCTACGAAGTGTATCCCCTTCAGAGAGGTGGGCATTCATTCCGACAGCCGCGCGGCAATTTCTGGCAACTGCAAAGTCGATGAATTACTCAAAAGGCGCACCCTTGCCCTGCTTATATGGGAATGGAGCCGAGTTGGACGTCCATTTTAGTCTTCCGTTTTAGCACAAGACGTGCGCTTAACGCCATTCCTGTCCTTTTGGCTTAGAGTAGATCGCAGGAGATCTTCTGTACTACTTGTCCTTAGCAAAGCTCATCTTGCCGTAATTTACAATGTTAAGAAAAGCCGAAACTGTCATTAGCATTCTTAACAAATTTGTTATAGTTCGAAAGCACTTTGCCGATTCGTAAGGGTCTTATAATATGTTTTGGGAGTTTGAAGTATCACAGTGAGTTTGCTGTTAGGATCGACCTCTTAACCTAACGTAACCTAGAGTATATTGTGTTTACTCTCTTTGCCGCTAGACTACACGAAAGAGAAATTTATTTTTTATTTATAATTTCAAGATAGGCTCACTTGTCTTTACGTGCAAAATTGGAAAATACGCATGATTTTATTTTTGCTGCTATATTTTGATTTATTCTAAGAAAGATAACTGTGTTCCAAAATGTATATTTTTAATTTATCAGCAATTTTGTTTCGCTTATTTATGCCAAAACGAGTTTTGTCACAAATTACATGTCTGTATGTTTGTGGTCAGTGGTTGCTTTTATTAAAACTTCTTAGTAAGTCAAGGATGAATGCCTCGAAATGATATTTCGCGGTAGAATAAGTTCATCGCTTCAATGCATTAAATATTTAGCACCTGTACAACAAAAATGTACGCAAAATCAAGATAATTATTTATGCACATATATATATATATATGTATGTACATCGTAACATACATATGAACATACAACCCTATTTATACAATTTGACTCTATGGTGAACCACTTTGCATGTAACCTCATTTGAGGTGTCAGTCGGTAATGCCGTTCATTTTTGTTTTGGACAGGCTATTAGCACGCAAGTTGGGCTTAAACGAAACATACAGCATTACCATATGCATACATATCTATATGGATATTATCTAAAAATTCTGAGAAACAAGCTCAACTGGTTATTTAAATTTTTATATTATTTCTAAAAAACAAATTCACAAAATATTTTCAATATTTTCTCTCAAATTTTATGTGGCACATATATGTATGTATGAATCATAACCCTCTTAATATTGATAAAAAGGGTCTTCGTATTTTGCCAATAGATGTTGTTGCCAATCACATTGTGTCATACCATATAGTGATGGAAAGATTTAAAGCTTCATTTAAGAAAACATAATTCGAGGAAGTTCAAAACTGTTCAAAAATTAGTGAAAATAATTAAATTTTTCTATAAAGACAAAGGTCGAGACATCGTCGTAGACATACCCCGTTCTGGACGACCTTCGACCTCTTCAACTGATGGAAAAATTTAAGGATATGGAAGCTATATTTTGGGTAAAAATCGCGTTCTTGCTCGTCTCGCCCGATAAATTTGAAATTTTTTCAAAAAGCGCACTGTAAACAGTTGCTTGGACATGCTTGATTGTACGAATTCCGATCCCACATTCATGGAGAGCATTAGAATTGCCGATGAGACATGGGTTTATGAGTTTGACATGCAAACAAGTCAAAAATTATTGGAATGGAACCCGAAAGTGCTTATGAAAAGTGTTTTGAGGACATGAAAAACTTTCTTATTTGACGAGATATATTCACGAAATTTGGCACAGCTTGATTTCCGAAAAAACAAACTTACTGATCAAAATCAAGATAATATAACTGCAAACAGGTGTGTCTTTTGAATGGTCGGCCCAGCGAAAAAAAAAATAATAATTTCTAGGGGTCACTTGGTCTGCCGAATAATCTTATTTATTGCAGCAACGATTAAAATTTCGCACAATTTTCTCAAATTGCAAGAGTATGTAGGAGGATATGTACAATGTAGATTAGTTTGAGTGTGTGTGTACAGTTTGTCTGCCATACGCCCCATTCATGAAGCTTTAGGTCGATAATTTTGCAGTCTCATGATTTAAACATATGTATGCATAATATAACGGCCTCTAATGTATAATTCCAAGAGATTTGCATAGCACAGTTATTGAAATGGGAGTTGACAGCAATCAAATATGCAAACGTTAACGAGCGTACATATTGTTTGTCATCATTGAATGCAAGCTACCCATAAAAAATCGCAAATAGACATCAACGCTGGCGACAATATTCAGCTTCAGTTTGAAGTTGAAGTAGGAAAACTGCAGCAATAAGTTTACATCCTAGATCCAGCAGAAAAGTAAATATTCAACAAAATGTAAAGAACTTTTAGAAAATGAAATCGACAAAAATAATCAAGATGTAAGATGTAAATGCTTTGAAGCATGATATTTAAAGAAAATTTAAAAATAAATTACGAACACTCTTAAAATTAAATTATTAAAAAATTTAAAAATAAATTTCGAACACTTTCAAATTTCAAAATTTCATCAAAACTATTTTCTGTCGCTACAACTACAACTTGGGTTCATTGGAATGGCTATTAATAGGTATTTTATTACTCGAAATAAAAGCTGTAGAACATTTTTAGATGTCTATCATCACATCACATTCTTTTAAAACTATTTATTAAGACCCTACAATGTGAGAGGAAGATTAACGCGATTTGTAGAAATAAAAGTTGTTTACGCATATGTTGACGTATTACAAAATCCAACTAAATATAAAAAACTGATAAATAAAAGGACACTTTCGTCAATACATACATAAATAAATATATTAAAAATATTAAGTATTAAGAAAGTTAAAATTGTATTTCTACTCACCTCGTTCTCATACTTTGCTCTGGTTTTTGCGGCATTTTGATACAGTCAACAGCATATCGCGGTACCATAATTTATTTACGAACTCATTTACCCGATATTGTGGAATTTTATTACTTTATTCGCTTTTATTGTTTTTTTTTTTTTTAGATTCATTTAATTGACAATCCGTTCGTTTTATTTATTTCTTGTTCACATTTGACTTTATTATATATTTTACGAATTTTACACTAATCTTTTATATATTTCTTGTGGCTTAAATTCTTTATTTTGCGGACACACTCCTAAAATTGAGGATTAAAACGCATGAGTACGAATGAAATTTGTTTAAAGGATGCACTTTTATTTATTTTAATAATATTGGTTCGAATCGTCTATACCGTTTTTGTTGCGTACAATTCAACCAACCGATGCTATTTAACGCCAAATTCGAGCATGCGTCTTAATTTATTAGCACTGTTGAACATTTACATTATGTTGGTAGAGATTTTCAGCGAAAACATATTTTCCAGAAAAAAAATTTCAATAAATTTAATTTCTACAGAATTGATAACTTCGTTATTCTGGGTATTATAAAAAGTACCAGATTTTGGTATTCATTCATACTTCCAATAATCGATGTATATTAACAATATATTCCAAAAAACATTGAAATTTGTGTTTAAGTATTCAATTCTATAAAATATTGGTAGTCGAAAAACTATTTTCGTATTTTGTCCATAGATGTTGTTGCAGTCGCATGTCTCCAGTGCTGCCAATCTGATTGTGTAATACCATCAAGTGTTGGAAAGGTGAGATTTTAAGCTGCTAATTAAAATTCCAATTCACCAATGAAATTTGTGAAATTTACGGACGATGCTGTATCAGTTCTTGTAACACAGCAATGGTTCGCTCGCTTCCGTTCTGGAAATTGTATGTTTATAGCGGAAAAATGGCAAAAAGTAGTCGAATAAAATTTTTGTTTATTTATTTATTATTATAAATTAAAAAAATAAGTACAAATTTAACTAGAAATTCGAAAATACTTTTCGCCTACCCAATATTATAGGACTTAATTATATATTAATTAAAAAGTAGCGCATACGCATTGGCTACGAATGTAGATATATTTTCATGAGATAATTGGATCTGTTTCACGACAGAAATATACCTATTTAGACATTTTACTTTACCTAGCGAGGGACAACTGTCGTTAAAAATTTTATAATTTCCTATTTCACCTTTAAACAAAACATTATTATTATTTTTTTAACAAATTATCCGAAATATCTGGCAAAACAAATTATAACTTGTATGCATGTATGTAAAAACTAAATTCTTCATATCACTTTTACAAATTAAACAATTGGTATGTGCACCAAGTCAAGATACGGATATGTGTTATAAAGAGGCGTTTAAATTAAGGGTTTGCGTGTTTCAAAAAATGGATTTTTTATTTTATTGTCTTGTTAAATTCTACCTCCAGAATATAGTCATAATTTTCAAGTTGAGCCGAGTAATAGTTTTGGAGACACAGCGTTCAGAACCTGTGCGATCGAGGCTAGCTAGGCTGAGTGCGCCATCTTTAAAGGCTTTTTTCTCGAAATTGTGTTTTTTAAGTCGGTCGGCAAGATTTCTCGAGAACTACTCAACCAAAATTCATGACGTTTTACACAGGTATTTGAGATACAATTCTTAAAGACTTGGACGAGGGATGTTTTTTTCGACTACAACTATTTGAAAAAAATGTAACGAAATTTGCACCGATATTTTCGTTTTTTTGTTAAAAAATTAAGTGTTCGCGCAATTTTCTCTGAATATTTAATTGCTTTGTAAAAAATGTCTGCAAAACATCCAAATTTTAGTTTTTTTCCTTCAAAATTAAGGTTTTATCTAAAACACGTATTTTTGCACTTTTTATGATCCTGCCATCGCGCCGCACCACTTTTCCGACCGGTCACCCGTCAATGGCCGAGTTTAAAATATTTTTCCCAATAATTTCAAGCTTTCTTTCTTAGTAGTGTTATTTGTAACAATAAAAAATTTTAATAAAATATTTAATTTTTTATATGAGAAAAAAATTTGAAAAAAGCTGTTTTATATTACTTGTAAGTCGGAAAAAATTAGTTTTTTGTATTTCTTTTTTTCTAAATAGGCATTTTTATTAATAAATAAACAACACGTATGTATGTTAAAGATTTAAATGTACTATATTAATAGGCACTTCATTTTGAATTCCTTTAGTCTTCTAGCAAATCTTCAGAACATCTGAATTCTTATACTTTTAATTATCTCCAATTCAAAAACCAAAATAATTTATTATTACAATAGCTGAACAGAGATAATAATCAAGGCTTTTTGAAAACGCGCTTAAAGTTTGGAAATCATTTACACTAAGTTAAAAATTCTATTATTCTTCTATTTACCGGATCAAGTTCAAACTCTCGCAGAATATTTGTATAAATGTATTTATATACATATGTATGTATTAACTCTCTGTTATCATAGATATTCAATAAATCTGAGGAAGCAGTCGTCGGCGAAACGTCACTACACAGATGCACTGAGCTGATTAAAATATTTCACTATTGAAGATCGAAAATAATTTATAATATACTGTACCAGCATGTTTTTCGTACAAATAATAGGAACGAAACCGCAAACCAACACCTATACAGACAAACATACACATATACATTATATAGATATGTACATATGTACATACATTATATACATACATAAATTTTTTAATGGAAGACTACATTGCCTGATAATCGCTTTCCCATATAAAGTTGTATGTATTTTATTGGTACATACATATATGATGTATAGATTTTGAAGCAGCTTAACCTTTTTAAATACTAATTATTATTTACACTGAAATTTGACTTGTTTGAATTTCGACATAAATCATTAATTGATGCAAACAACCACATAATAAGCTTTATAATAATTTCGACGGCTGCGCAGCTACATTTTTTAACCACCCTCCTGCTTTTTAGAGCCTGTTAATGAAATTAACACTTATAAGAGAATCTCCAAGTAAAATTCGCCGAATTTTTACAGCTGAGGTACACGATTTTTAAATGTTTTTTCCCTTATCTACAAACATACGGTTTTGTAAATCCTTGATATGAGTTTGTGGTGTAGTTTTGTTAGTGCGCTAAATATACCGGAGGCGTTGGACGTTGCTGCTGTTGCTGCCTATTTGTCTAGTAATTGGCTACAACATTGTTGTTAACAAGTGTTCGTTGCTGTCAATGCTCATTATACAAACGTACACATATACACAACATAAACACGCTTACTCCTATCATTACGTATGCACAGACAAGCATACAGATGTATATGTGCACAAATTTGTCTAAAAATTTTACCACTTAGCTGAGACATATGAATCTGCTAAATTATATATTTGTTTGGTTCAAATGATTTATTAGTTTCACCGTTAAACTGCTCATTAGTAAACTAAATTTTACGCTTATTTCAGTTTTTTAGTTATTTTCATTGAATTTTCTTCTAAGTATTTAGGTGAAATCACTTATAATGACTGTTTCTAGCAAAGCCGTTTGCCAAGTTTCTATCATTACAACGTCGGTTGGTATATATTTGTTGTTGTTTTGTTGCCTACCTTGCTGTTGTCGTCACTGTTACTCTTGTTTTTGTTGTTGTTTATGTGTTACCATTTACGCGCATGTTGGCATCCTATGTGGTTGTGGTTGTTATTGTTGTTATTGACGTTTACGAATTATTTCGTGCGATAGTTGTTGATATCTTGTGGTTGTTGTTGCTTTCTGTTTTCTTCGTTGTACTTGTTATTGTTGCTAAGATGCTGCTGCATATTTTTTGCGATTAATCGAATTTTACTTTTACATACATTTTGTTTTTGATAAAATATCAATAATTTCCATTGCACAATATTGGCAAACTTTTGTATTCACAAATTGCATTATACTTGCGTTAATAATATAACAACCACTCTTATCTATTTTGCTAATAAATTTCTTATATTTAATTAATTTAAATACGAAGCTTTGCCTTTGAAACGCACAACAGGTTCATTCCTGTCTATATTTATAATCACAGCACACGACCGATGTGACTTTACCCGACCGAGCAATGAGAAAAACAACTTGGCTTTTTTATATAAACCCACTGTTTTATATACTATTTAACAGCGCTGTTGCTCTCTATGTTAGCGCGCCAACCAACTTGCCAACCATGCGAATTCAGAGATTCCATTTGATATATGTTGTCATGAATGTAGTTTTTGCAATACGGTCTGGTATCCCCATTTAGCATAATTTATACTACCACGCGTAGAAGTTGCCAAATGTTTGATTTTATGGCAGACAATTTTTATATGGAATCGTTTAGCGGTGCTGGGCAGACGTTGTTAACTAGAGACGATTTACTAGAAACAAAAAGCAATACTCAAATACATACATATGTGAATAAAAAAACCATAGTCGTTATTTGCGGTCCTGTAAATGGCAATACTATCACTTTAATTATCTTAACAAACTATTGGCAGCACCTGTAGTATTGCTATGGCTACGAAAATGTATATAAACAAACGGAATTGCACTTTTGTAACGCTCAGGAAGAAGAACCGTAAAATAAAGGACCCAAACAAGAAGCAAAAACTAAGATTTTATTCTATAGATGACTCTCTGACATGTCTGATTCACCAACTACGGCTAGTTATTTCAATATATTCATTACTGGCCAATTGGAAGCAATGGAATTCCCATTAGGTCCAAATGCAGCAGAAGTATTCTGTCGCTATGAAGTTGTGTACGGTCCGGATTGGGAGTTGGTATCCGGTGTACAAAGTGGTATTTCGCAAACGGCATCGAATAGGAGTGGCTACTTTAAAGATAAAATAGTATTTAACTTTCCTTTAGAATGGACTTTTAAGAGTACAACGCCTTTTGGTTGTAAGTAGATATACTACCACCTACAAAATTTATTCAAGAATGTGTGTATGTTAAACAAATTTCAGGGCCACAATTAATTGTTTGTATATATGGCAAAACACGTTGGGGTGCAGAAACATCGTTGGGTTATAGTCGTATAAATTTGCCGGTATTTGGTTCGAATGCCAACAACCCTATAGTTAGTCCTATACTTTGTCCACAAAACAGCAATATGGTGTCGGAGCTTGCCAGTTGGATAACTGGACGTAATCCTGAATTAAAAGACCCAAAGGCTTTATTAAGCAATGGCAAGTTGAAAGGTAACCTAACACATTAACTAAATTATTTAAGATAAAGCAAATTAACAAATCATTTCAGGAATTTCAGCGGAGTCTTATGGTGAGGTAATCTTCAAACTTGCAACTATATTAAGAGGTACCGATAGGTTAGGTTACGATTGGGGTTGAAGACTTTGAACTCCAAAGATATTTCTAAGATAAAATATCTACAAAATATATATAGAATCAATTCCACCATATAGTAGTGTTTTTTCATTTAAAGCAAAACATAAAAATTTTGAAGTTTTAGAAACATTCGTTTGCCTTTAAAATAAGCGGTGTTTGTGTAAGAAAATGTTCGGAATTAAGTTTCTTTGTATACTCATTCATGTCAACCCGAAGAAGTAGCATCAATATATGTATGTACATATGTATATCATAAACCACATTGAATAAGATACGATTTTCAATTTTTTTTTTATCATTTATTGATATTTCTTTCAATTAAAAAAGCTAAAATAAGAATATGAAAATAAAAAATAAAAATGTTTCATTGCCAACGCTGTTTTTGAACGCCTGCATAAACATACCTGCAAGAAAAAAGATAGGCAGCATTAGTATTTGTTAATCAGAGATTAAAAAATCATTTTTGTGTATGTTAATCAGCAAATTTTAAAATCATCAATATGTAATTATGTCGGGAAAAGAAGACAATATGTAAAAAATATCATCATTTGGTATTTATACCTAATAAACATTAACCAATTCGAAACATAACTTTTTTGAATACATTGACGAACTGTAGGAATAACAAGTGAAATTCGAAAACTGACACAATTACATGCTTTAATAGTTTCTAAAGTATTGGAAGTATAATGAAAATGTTTTTTTTTGTAAAAATGTATTTTTGGTAGTTTACACAAAATCTTTATCTTCGCCCGTAAGCTTTCTTAGTTATGTTCCAAATAGTAATTATAATTCAAACTTGCTTGAAATTCTCACCTGTGTTAAAATGATTTCTATACGTTTAATTTCCTAGCCATAAATAAATATGGCATTTTGTTTGTTACACGACTGAAACTGTCTAGGATAAATTATATATTCAGTGAGACGTACCTGAAATAGTAAGAAAATAAATGAAAAATGTGATGTTAAAATGAATAATGCTAAGAGCGATCAACATTTTTTAAGTAACAGTTATACACAGAAAATGCCTATGCTATAAATACATTTTGATCTTTTTCTTAAATACGAAATAAAATAGCTTGGTGTTTATCTTACCTCTTGTGTATATAATCAATCATCAATCAGTGTTATGTAATGTTGATGTTGAATGAATGTTACATCATAATTTTATCACTTAATTTTAAAATAAATTTAACTAAATTTTTTCCTTAAAATATTGTAATATTTGCTCGAAAATTTAGGTAAAAAGATATGTGCATTGCAAAAGTATTTAAAATAAATAAATTAAATTGAAAATTAAAAAAAAAAAATTAGCAATTATTTATATTTTACAAAGTATTTTTCTATAATAGAGTATTTATTATACAATAATTTACGTTATTGATTTATTTACATTATTATTTACATAGTGATGTTAAGGCAATGAATTCTTTACAATTTTGTGTAAATTTAATTTGTCATTTGCAATTCAAATCCATGCAACATTCAATTCATACATCCTACACAACAACACACGTTAGCTCACTTCTTCACTGTATTTAAGAGTATCAAGGTGTAATCTGCAAAGGGAAAAAGAAATAAGTAAAAAATTTAATGTTTTAATAATAACGATTGTAATAGTTATTTAACAAAAAAAAAAAAACCAATCAGTAATTGGAAATGTTGAAATCAATATAAATTCATAAACACGGACCAATTAATTTCATCAGGGAAAACTTGTTTTACCACAACTAAGTAAAAATAATAGTAACTCACCGTTTTAAGAAACAAAGTCAAATTTAACTATGCACATTTTGTTGATTCACACTTAAAAAAATAGAAAATATTATAGATTAATAAAGGGCATAATAAGTTTATAACATATGTATATTAGGCCATGTAGTAAATTGAGCAAATACAAAGCAATATAGGAAAATAGAAAACTAAAATTCAAATTACATTTTCAGATATTTAAAAACAAGCTAAAACTATTATCGCCATATTGCTTTTGTCTACCTATTATTTTACTAGAATCAGTAATTGGGAAAGTGAAAATCAATATAAATTCATAAACACGGACCAATTAATATCATCACACAGAAATTTAATTGTTTTGAGACATTGTTGCCTTAAAAAAATAAATAATAATAAATTTAAGCTTACCTTTTGCATATTTATTTAAATTATACATTACACATACTGGTAGGTAGAACACGAGGCTGAAATAGGAGAAAAGTATTCTGTTAGACACATTTTAAAACCAAAATATCACTAATTTATGATATCGTAAAATAAAAGCGAAAAATTATTCAAAAAATAATAATTTGACATAAAAAAGTAATAATAATAATGTTGTGTTCTACTGTTGCAGTTACTAAGTTTATCTGTGTATCAAAGTTAAGATAATCGATTTTTCGATTAATTCGAACAAATTTCAATATTAATGAATTTACTGCTTAACTTTTTTCGCTTGCCTTAATGTAATTAAATTCAGAACGCATAAGCGCAGCCGTCAAGATTAAGTCACAGTCTTTTGAACTCATACGGTAATTAGTAACATCATTATAAATTGTATTTGTGTATTTATTTAAAGAAAAAAGTCGAAGATAAAACACTTACCATTATGTCGCTGTGGAACTCTTTACTTTATCACTTTTCCAGTCTTATAACGTATTTATAAAATAATTTTTATTGGAATGGACGCTAACATAATATTTACAGCTTTGTTTTACCAAATCATACTGTTGTCTCGAATGCCTGAAATAGAAAATAATTTCGTTTAGGGTTATGTTTATGCAAAAATAATAGATATCTAATTATTTGATGTTTAAATCAGTACGCAAAGAGCGCAGCCGTCGAGTTTTAGTCATTGAATATACTCATACGGTAATTACTATCATCATTTGAAAAATGTAATAATATAATAAGATTGAAAAAATAGAGAACTTTAAAATTCAATTGTCTAAAAATAACTTGATTATATCGTTTATATGATAATTTAAGAACAATTCGAAAAAGAAATATTTATGACCAAAAATAATAGTATAACGCAATTTTGAGAATTAGCTCAATTTCACACTCGCAAATATTGAAATGCCTATCAAGTGTTTTTCTTTATATTAAATACAACACAAGTGCATAATTACCTCAATGTAAAAGTCAGAGCTCACAATTCTTATGTCTGCAAGAAATAAAAAAAAGAATATCATTCGATTTTCAACCAAAAACATAGTATTAAAAAATAGTTTTTGTCTTTATCTCATTAACGTAAAAATCAACACGATGATTGTAAGGTAAGGTAAGGTATTCAGTAATTAGATCCGTTATTATAATCATTGAAAAGTTGTAAATAAAATTAATATACGATCAATGTAATATATGCATATAACTAACCTTTTATGTATTAGCACAGGAGCGCCACGACCTTACTGCGTACCGTTGGTGCTTTCCCGAAGCAATCAGCTTTGTAAAGTGTTATACAGAAAACTACAAAGAACAACCATAAATTATTATTTATTTATGAGAAAGTAGAAAAACTAACTAAAAGTTCGACTACTGTTTAATTTAACTTAGGTAAGCAAATAAAATTTACACTACGACAAAATTTTTAAATTTAATCGGCTTAAAACCAATTTTAAAAGGTACTTAAAGATTAACGAAGTTTTTTTTTTGCTACGAATCTTTTTTTGTCTATATTTTGAAATTACTTCAAGCTTAACAAAGTTACGGTAATTACAATAATATTCAACGCTCGATGGTTAATTCGTTTACAACGCTCAATACCTTGGAAAATGTAATTTTAAATAAAACATTAAATGGATTAACTCGTTATGTCACACTTACCCTTTGACAGCATTCCAGTCGATATTAGCACCTAAACCCTCAATTTGTTGTATATTGAAAGGCAGTGTAGGATTCGACTTTGCTGATTCAGTACTGTTAGAATCTCTACCTTTGTTATTGTGCACCCAATTATGTCGCTTGTTCTATAAAATATATATATGATTTGATTAAATTTATGTTTGTGTGTTTTATACAAAGTTTGTTGGTGAATATCTTTTGACTGCCAATTGAATTTGACAGTTCGAAATGTTTTTCAAACAATTAAGATTAAAACGCGATATTTTACGATTTCTAAAGAACTAAATTATAAAACATAAATCTCGTATCGTTATAAATTACGATTTTTTTTTTAAACAAAAGCAAAAAAAAAATCTTTTCAATAATTACTCCACTTTATATTTTTTTGATGATAAAATTAAATTGTGACAAATCAACAAAATGAACATAAAAAAAAATTCTGATAAAATAAAATAAAAAAAATTTGAAAAACACTTCGTAGATTTGCGAATATAGTAGATGGATAGTTTTGATTTTTGTTCTTGTGCTAAGCACATCACATCTTAGATTTGTTTAATCTTCATTAACATTGAAGTGGAATTTCATGACCAGAAAAATCAGAAGCCTCAGATATGCCGTTTCACAGAAAGATGTTTCATGTTTTATCCAAGAAAGTTGTATACACCATTTTGCAGTTGTTTTGCAAAATGTGTCGATCAGAAGTAAATAATCCGTAACATTTATGGTTTATAAATTCATATTCGTAAAGAAAACAACATTCCTCATTCTCAACAATTTCAGGTTATTTATACGAATTCAAATAAAATAGCACAATGAATTGAACCCTGCTCATTGATGCTCAACTTCAATAACTTCATATATAGTATTTTAATACTATACTACTGAATTCTTTGCTTTTGGCACATTTGCCCGCCGGCCTTAAGTGCACTTGTGTTTCGCTGCGAGACATGTGCCCTTTCAGCAGTAGACATTTTGTTGGCAATGTTAAATTTATAGCAAAAATTAGTAAAAATAATTCAAATATTTATTTTATTTTTACATATTCAGTTCATACGGTGATTCAGATTCCCTCATATCACTAACTATTGGCATATCTGAGATAAGGAGTTTTGCTTTTAGAATTTTAGAAGAAAGCCCCATAATATAAAACTTGAATAAGTTTTTTTTAGCTAATATTTAAGAAAAGTTTTTTATTAACAATATATTTTCCAAATAAACTTCACATGTGATTTATTCAGTTGATGCAAGTAGGCAATCAAATTCCAACATTTTTCTAACCTTTGCTTGCCCACTTCACTGGATAAAACACCAAGACTAGCACTATTGATTTCTGTAAAGTTTTCATTTGAAGTGTTATACTTTTTTTTGTAATATTTAATGTAAAAAATCACAGCATTTTCTTACCTCTCCGAGACAAAGTTGTTTCACAATCAATTTATTTCATAGCAAACGTTGAAGAAGCAGCAATATTGCTTGTTGTTGCTCAAAAATTATATTTTTACGAAATATTGCAGCTTTTATTTCTCCGCAAGAATTATAAAAAGTTTTTTCTCAGTTGTGGTCTGCATATAACAAAATTGATTTTGCATCCTCCAAGTTAGTTGAAAACACACTTCCACAAAACACGTCTCGTATTCGTATATCAGTTTGTTGTAAGTTTATTAAAAGTCGTCCATTAAAAAATAGATGTTTCCCAATAAATAAGGTTTTTAAAGTAATGTCATAGTAACAAAGTCTCGATAAAGCCAATATTTTATTTAAATTTAAAAATGTTGCAATATTTTGTTGATTTTACCGTTGGTGTTGTTATTTTACTGTCATTAAGTATGGCAACATAACCATTATTGGACATATTACTGGAAATGTCAATTAACAATAGTATGGAGTTTTGGTCCTGCGTCAATAATATCATTTAATTTTTAAGCAAACTGAATTCATAGATTTAAAAATTTAGAGTTATGTGATGAATTAACTCTTCTGTATAAGTCGTCTCAATTCAATGTTTTTTACTTGATGGATTTGTGCAGTTCCATTATTGCTGAAAATCAGTTTTTTTACAGAAAGCTATTATAAAAATAAAAGTGACAAAAATCGATAGAAATGTGCGGCCAATTAATTGTATCACATATCTAAAAAAAAAAACACTTCATACGAGTTAACTACTTTTTCAGTAAATTTCACACAAAATATGGAAAAACTTTGCAAAGTACATTTTACATGAATTACAGAATTTCTCTACTTCCATTACCACATGAAATCCAATCAATCACAAACCAAACCACTTCGGTTCTTAATCTGACCTTTTTACATAAGAATCTTTTTCATATAGATTTCCGTCAGCCACTTCTATTAGAGAAATTAGTTGTTGTTGCGCAGACACTGATCTACCCGAGAATAGGTGAAACAAATTTACAAAAGAATATATAAAAGCAATGATAATCTGAAAGTCAGTTTTTAAAACAGATTTATTAAAATATGGCTATACTAATTTATTAGCAATTGTTTAATATCAATGGAGTTACTACAAACAAAAACAATTATATTTTAACTCATTAAATTTGCCAATTTGGAGTTTTAGAATATTTTATTGAAAAAAAAAAAATATTGAAAAGTATTTGTAAAAATTTWTTGGAGGAATAGCATATATTGATGAAACAAATCGCCGATATGTATGTGAAGAAATGATTTTAAAAACTCTCATGCAAATAAGCACTCAATTTTCGTTTGCTAAACATCATATACGCATACAACGCAAAAAGTGTCATTAATCGCGAATTAATTGCATTTGCGGTATTTAGTAAAAATTATTTTTTGTAGATATTTTTTTATTTTACTCTTATAATAAATGTGACTCAGATGGGCGTTTTGAGTGGTTACATAACCCAATTACAACAAATATATTGTATTTCATGTAACTAAGTGCTTTTGACAAAGAATTAAATACAAAAATATTGTATATAATAAAATAAAATAGTTTTGGAACAATAAAAAAGTAGGGCAACTATTTCAAATACCCACTTGGAATTAGCAAGGAACAAAAATCTGATATTAGCTTAGTTTATTGTAAGTGAAAACTTAAAAAAAAAAAACAACATATAATAAAATACCTATTTATTATGAAAAATTACACAAACACTCTGACAATCTCCAAAGCACCTACATTTGGCACGCACATTTCTCTCCAGCACTAAGACCCAAGACGACGAACAAACAACAAAACAACGAAGCAAAGAGAAATTACCTCACGTCCACCCTCCCTCCAACCCTCCAACCATCATCAACATTACGATAAAATTTAATTTCAAAATATTAAGATTAAAAGAAATTTTTCATTTAATTACACATATTTGGACATGTATTATATTATATTTTAGTCTAAGAATTGTTGTAGTTTTGTCTACATAAATCAATGTAAATTACCGTTTTTGTTCTAAATATGTAATACAAAAAATATTACACACGCATAATATAGAGCAAGAAGAGACAAACGAAATTTTATTTCACAAAATCGTCAGCTAAAATCTCCATCGCACAAAAACTTGGGAATTGCGCGAGAAAATAATTGTAGACAGACGCATCAATTGAAGGAAAATTTCTTGCTTTCTTCTTTACTTTACACATAAACATACAATATATGTATATGTTGGTATGCAGCAACCGATGTTAATATATTTTGAGATTTTGCATGTGCTTCATAATTAATATTGGATAAATACTTCTTAAAACTAACTCTTAAACTGAATTTTTTTACTACTCAGTTTGAATATGTTTTTTATGTAAAATGTTTTTTCTCAAGTATGCAGTTTTTTCTCCAATACGGTCAAGACGAGCAAAGTTTGTGTTGAATATGCCTTTAGAGATCGCAATGGGAAAAATGAGACAATTTCCACAAATAAAGCTCAATATGCTTTACGTTTGATGTCTTATCGATAAATACTATTGTTGTTAAATCTTAAAACTGTCGAGCGTCTGATGAATTTGAATTTTCTTGTTTCCAACTATGATAAATTGTTATTCAAATTTAAAATCTTTATAACCAAATATTACACTCGTTTTATAGTTTCCAAATAACTTATCCTGCCTACTGAGAATGTATGTTTTAAATACATTTTTTCACTAAAATTTAAATCGTTTAAAAAAGCGTACATTTAGGTATATAGTTATATTAATTAAAACGTGAGTGTACGCGCTTTGCTGAATTCCCAGTTTTCTTTTTTTTTTTATATCTTGGGTTGATCAATCAATAATGGTCCTTTGAGTCAAGTTTTTGTTCTTTATAAATGTTCCAACATCCATAGAACTGCTTGATTGTGTGATTGTTGGGTGGAAATTGGTTGCAGTGCAGTAGAATCATATTAATTGTTCGATCATTATCATTATTTTTCAGCATTAAAAATACAACGTAATCGCTCACGCACATTCATTTAAGGTGACACTGAATCTCAGAAACGTCTTCTTCGTTCCCATGGATTATTGTTTCCGTTGTTATTACCACCGCGTTGATTGCCACCTTGGTTTTGGTTAACGCCACCAAATTCAAATGAAAACGTATCCTATTCGCAAGTGAAGGTAATAAAGAATTTCATATGCAAATGTAATAAGTTAAACGGTTGTTTTTTCTTTTATTAATTAAGAATTTGATACGCAAAAAATGAAAATCACCCATTACTAAACATTTCTACAACGTATGCACACAAATCAATATGGCACACCATAGATGCTCCAAAACATCAGTGTGGAGGTTTTTACACTTGTTTTTTTATATAATCTGTTCGTGTATAATGTTGGGAAATGTGTCTAAATTGCAATAACTCGAAAATATCAACTCTTCTCAAAACACATTCATATATTGAACATTTCGTTGATTTAAATCCGACAACTATACCAAATATACTGTAAAAGCAGTTCAGTCGTTCATGCATAATTTATCATATTAATGATGCTGTTGTTTTTGATTTTAGAATTTTTTTCGACGGCATTTATCAAGCTTCAAATTTAATGTCACATTTTGTAACCACCATCAGAAGCCTATTTGCAAATTAACCCCTTGACGTATTTCCATGAGTCTGACTCGTGGTACAATTTCTGTGCCTAACATGATTGTCACGAGACTAGCTCGTGGTGTGAGAAGTGTACATTTGATGAAAAGAGAATTGAAATTTTCCCGTTATTTTCAGGTAATAATGTAAACAAAAACCATTGTTGCATTATCTACTGTGTAATTAACCATATTTTTTGTTAAGCATTAAAATTAAATCGCTTTTTTTTTTTTTTTTTTTTTTTTTTTTTTTTTTTTTTTTTTTTTTTTTTTTTTTTTTTTTTTTTTTTTTTGTAAATTTGTAAAACAAGCTTGGAACAGTTCGTAAACATCAAAACTGGTTGTTTTAGTGCAAGTTGTGTGCGAACAGTTGGAAGCGAATTTCGTTGCGCTAATGAATACGTCAAGGGGTTAAATTTTACCAATGTTTTTAAGACGAGTAGAAAATCAGCATACAATTTGAATTAAAACATTCATCATTGTTATGCAGCGGGATGAATTTTGTATAAATTTCTGTGTGTCATTTATAAGACCAACCCAAAGCTTAAAAAAGCATTATTTCGGCGAAAACAAGTGTTAGTAGTAGTATATGTATTTCACTTAAATTTATATAGAAATGTTTTTTTTGATATTTGAAATTGTTTAGTATTGCGTTATATATTAAAATATAATTTCCGACTTGTTCAATTGTGCTGAGATGAGTCACTTTACATCTCCAGTAGCCCACAAAATCCCGAAATTGTAATTCCACATAAATCCAAGTATTGTTGCTGTACAACATACCGTTGTTTCCCCACCACCAAAACATCCCACATATTTTTTTAAACAAACGTTGATTAAAACACTTAAGCGAGCGATCGGTCACTGTAGATTATAAGTTTCGGAAAGTTCAAACCAAATATGTTTCTTCAAAGAGTGCTAACAAATTTCAAGTCATCATTGCAATAATACACATTTCCTAACACACTGTAACATTTCATAATTACTTTTAACAGAAAGTTATGCAACTATGCTATCTTTGGTTACATTAAAGAACAAATTGCCTAGCCTAATGTAGTCAACTGCGTAGCTTTGAAAGTAAATGCAAATATCATGGTATGTAGCTATTAATCAGGAAACAAGTATCATTCAGTAGCATGCCCTTAAAAAAGCTTGCGTCAAAGGGAACATTCAAGGCATTTACAATGTATTGTCATACTTAAGATTAGACCTTACAATGCAATTCCTTTGGAAAATAAAATGATATTTGGCCGAATATCATTCATTTCCTTGAAAATGTTTAGCTGACACACATGCCTTGATTACGAGCCGCTACTTATGGTACACTATTGTTCTATTGCTTAAGATATACATCATTATTGTTCTAAGCCTTTTTCAGATCAATAAGAAATGGTGTACAGTGAAATTTTTGAAACAATATTTATTAATTACCTAAACAGCCTCCGTTAACCAACACAATTATATTTTATATCTTTATAAACTACAAATAATACAATTTATTGCCATTGCAGCAATGTATATATAAGTAACCCGTTAAAATATTACGAGCGTATCAATGTAATAAGCAATAACACCGCAATGGTGAGAACTGAATTTGTTAAGAAACAATTCAAAATATAACCGATTCAAGGATCATTTGTATTAAGCACTGCAAAGCATTTAAGATTCATAAGTATGACCTACTTTGCAGCTTTAACTTAAAGAATTTATTGATATGTTTGTTGAGCTTGTATGATTAGAATCTTGATTGCATGAAGAGTTCGAAAAATGAACGTACCTGTGGATTATTTGGCCCATTGCCATTGCCGTTACCATTACCGCCCCCACCGCTGTTGCCTAAAAGAGCCGAAATGGGATCTACCATTAAAAATTAGTATAACTGTTGCCATTTAAAATCAGATTATTTACCTCTGAATTCAAATGGTGAATTGTTGGATGCTCGACCAAAATTGTCGAAATTATTACCTCCATTATTATTACCGCCGAAACCTTCTTGCTGATCCAGCAAAGAATTAAGCTGTTGCGCTTGCATAAACAATGTGTTTTCTTGTTGTCGGCGACGCATTTCTTCTTCTTGGCGCAACATACGCGATTGCATTTCATTTTGCTGCCGGCGCATACTTTCTTCATCACGTTTGCGCATTTCTTCGGCTTGCTTTTCGCGCATTTCCCATTCCATCTTCTTGCGTTCATTATCAGACTCACGTTTACGCAATTCTGTATATATAAACTAAGTATTACATCTGAATATTATTTTTACTCTTATAATTCATACCTTGCCTAAGCAGCTCGGTTTCATGTTCATATCGTGCATATTCCATTTGGGCCTCAAGTTTCTCCTCTTCCATTTTGAGTTCACGTTTCAAAGCATCTTGTTTAGTTTTGAACAATTCATGCAATTGCTTCCACCTGGTACCATATTCATGCTCAAAGGAGCCTAACTCGGCGAAGCGTGGCCCTACACCACGTTCATGATGAAATTCTGGTGATTTTTTATTTAGCGATTTATCGGGCAAACCATCATCATCTTCATTAATTTCAAATGGTTCAACCACACATGGACGCAATGATGCCGTAAGGAAGAAGCATTTCTCACTGCAAAAACGTAGGCAAACATTTGCAGAGGATTTCTTAGCGAACTCGACTATGCCTTCGCCAGTGGATTTACCGCGATCATCAACAACTACATTGGCGCGTTCAATAGGTCCAAATATTTCAAAAGATCTATAAAGAAGTTCATTGGATACGAAAGGTGTCAAATTTTTTATACGGAGTATGGTAGCATTGGGAGCGAAACGAACACGCAATTGACGTCCTTTCCTCATGGTGCCATCCAATTCGCGTTTAGCCCGCTGGGCATTTATATGGTAATCCAATTTTAGGAATGTGAAATTTTTCTCAGCATTACAAAAAATTTCACCAATTTCACCGTATGGTTTAAACATTTCTCGCAATTCATTTTCAGAAATATCATTGGTAAGATTTCCAACGTATAAACGATTGCGGCCAGAGAACTTAGGTTCCTCGGTAGCCTCAACCGGTGGCAATTCATGAGTTGGTCCTCCGATTGCCCTTAAACGTTGCCCAATGAAGAATTCATCACTCCGATTATAGGGGCCATTGCCTTGATTCCCACGCCCATCACCGGGACCACCTCGTCCACCACGGCTGCGATCCCTATTTTGACCGCCTAGATTGCCACCTGGGCCGCCTTGATTACCCATAGGGCCACCTCCGCCTCCTCCACCACGATTGCGATTTTGGTTGTGGTTCATATTTTGATTCTGCTGATTTTGGTTCTGTTGATTTTGTTGCTGATTCCTTTGTTGGTTTTGAGGTTGTTGTTGTGGCTGTTGCTGCTGGGCCTGCTGTTGTTGCTGTTGCTGTGGTGGTTGTTGTTGAGGTCCTGGACCAACATCCTTTTTAATTGCTGTCTGATTGCCCTGATTGCCATCACCTATCGACTTCACATCTTGTTGTTGTTTTTGTTGATTTTGCTGATTTTGTTTGTTCTGGTTCTGCTGAAAATATTTTTGTCAAGATTTTCCATTGTTGAAATACTAGAAACTAAAACTGGAAATTTGGAATCATAGATATACATATATATTTTTTTATAAGTTCCAAATTTTTTTCATTGAACGCAACTGTACTTATAATTTTATTTTCCCTAGTTACATTTCTTTACAATTTAGTTCAAACGTTCATTGAACTCTTGTTTGACAATGTGACATATAATAATAACTAAATTTTCACCGGCAAATGAATGTTTCAGGGTAATATATATATAATCAAATATATTGAAACTTGGTAAAAAAAAAAAAATAATAATAATAATAATAATAATAATTAGAATTAATTTTATAATAAACTTTAAAAGTATTACAGATGTGTGCTTGTAAAGAGTAATATTTTTATGACGTTGGCAATTCGATTTCTTGAAGACGAACTACCAATACCTTCGGTTCACGAAGAGCGTACAACGGTTGGCCGCCATTTTGCATTCGCCATTTTGAGAAAATTTCTGGTATTGATTTTATAATTGTGTAGGACATTTATGCATGAACATTTAGGGCTTTTCTTACATAATGAATTAATATTGAATAAATTTCTAATAATATAATACCTAATATCTAAATAAGGTTAAATACCTGATTCTGATTTTGAGAGTTCCCTTGGTTCTGATTCTGGTTACCACGATTCTGATTTTGTTGGTTCCGATTATTGCGATTACCAAAACCTCGATTCTGATTTCCGAAATTCTTATTTTGATTTCCACCACCTTGGTTTTGATTTGGACCATTTTGGTTAAAACGTGGTTTCTTCTCCGCTGGTGCTCCATCAGCACCGTCATTTTGCTTTTGCTGCTGAGCATTCACGGGTTTTTTATTGCCTTGTGGGATGTTCTTTTGAGCCCTCTGTGGCAACGGGGCACCACCATTTACTCCTTCAACTTTTAAACCACCATCCATTTTGTCTATAATATCTTTTCACCTTATACACAAACACACAATTTTCTCAGTTATGTATCCTATAGATTTCTTTCACTAATAAAACCAGAAATCCGAAACTAGAAACACATCCGTACAGCTCGAACACCGGAAAAAGAATGAGGAAAATCTGAGACAAGAACTGACGAAAATGGCGTTAGCAATTCATGGTTGTATTTTGAGGCAGAGTTGCATTTTATACTAAAATAGTGGTACACGAAACGAAACAGTATTAAGTTCTAAAACATAATGTGGGGTATACACATGCAAATATAAACATTGAAAAAATTTTATGAATTATCAGTTTACTGTACTAATAACAATTCTTAATTTATTGTAGTAGAACTTTGTATTTACTTCGGCTCGGTTTTAGAACAGCATCTCTTGAATTCGGTGTTATGTGAAATGGGTATGGCGAGATGAGAAAAACTTAATTCTTTAAAATATTTAAACAATCTGGAGAACATCCACCTATACCCATTTTAATCCCGAATTCGGAAAAGGCTTTCCTAAAATTTCCTTCCTTGGTGTCAATTTAAATTAATTCTTTTTGATAGAGCTGCAAAGTAGATGACAACCACCTTGAACTTTACCATTCAAAACGGAGATTAGATAACCGTTACAACAAAAACAACTGTTCCAGGACATGGTAATATTCTTGGTAACTGTGAAGCAGATGAACTAGACAGTGCAAGCATCACTCTACAATAAGACTCCGTGAAAGAGGGAAATTGTTGTAGATATAGCTGAGTCTCTGTGGAGTCAATTCCTAACTTGCTCAATATGTAGGCAAACGTGACATGATTGGAATGTGGCTCGCTCATGCGGACTATTTAAATGACTGCTGTAGAAAGTGTGTAGAGGTAGAAGAAGAAGAGACTATAAATCATATTTTATGTGAATGCAAGATTTTGTACAGGAATACCATTGGTCAAAGGTTTTGTTTAAGATGTCTCGAAGGTTGCACAAATGTAACTTCTATCCACTCTATCTAACTACAACAACAACAACGTCATCAAAAAAATGGATATTTAAGCATTTTTATAGTAATTATATATAAGGATTTTTTTTATATATGTACACATGTATATAACATCTTTGATTTGAACCCGAGCTTTCCATAACTGACTACTAAAAATTTTGGCCCATTTCCCTAATAGGTGCTTCAAACATATATAAATATGTAAATTAGTATTCATATTATTGGAACTAAGCACCATTTGTAACCTTTAGGTATACATACATATGTACATATATGTACATATTTCTGACAAATCAAATAATGAATTCTAAGAAAATTTTAAAAACATGCATAAAGCTGGCACAGCGCTTTGAGCTTTTCATTTAAAATTGCAAACAAAAAGTTTCAGAAACTGAGTTGCTATTGGAACCTGCACATTGGTGTCAGTAGAAGGATTTTAAGCAATAGCGGTGTAAAAGGGTATACCAGATATTTATGTAAGTATACATATATAGACATGTACAAGACAATAAGAAATTGATTACGTTACTGTTTCTCGAGGACAATAATTGTAATTAGAAAAACTTGAATCAAGGCCAACTGCTTGATTTAAATATTATTCACATATTATTATTCAAATATTATTCACATACATATTCCATAACAAAAAGTGGTATTTAAAGATACTTATCAAAATTTTAATCGGCAAGTTTATATGGCAGCTATATGTATGCAATAGTGATCCGATTTAAAAAAATTATTCGGAGGTTGTGGCGCTGTCTTGAATAATCGTTTTTTCTAATCAAAAAGTTGGTCAAATAAGGACTACAATCGTATGGCAGCTACATGATATAGTGGTCCCATATCATCGGTTCCGTCAAATGAAATTTTAGAACGATATCTCAAAAACTGAGAGACTGAGTTGTTAAAGGAGCAGGAAACATTCCTGAAGTTATTTGGCCGGTTAAAAATCTGGGCCAGTTCGTCACTCAGATCAGTTATGTATATACTTTATGGGGTCTCTGGCATAACTTAATATACCCTGAACAAGTATATATTAAATAAACGTCTGATACCCTAGCTTGTCTATTAAGAAAATTCTTTTCCGCTACTAATAAAACTGCAAAATTTTTAGCTGCCCTAGTGATTTTCTACCTAATTTAAGCTTCATCAACTGAGTTTTTGTAAACTTCCAATTAAAAATGCAACACATCTTTATATAAAAAAATCAAGTGTCAAGTCCTAAACTACTGAACCGATTTTAGTAAAATTTAGCACATTGTATCCAGTTGGGGCCAATTTAGAAGATAAGATGGTGAAAAATATTCATAAATAAAAAATATAGTGAAAGCTCTATTAAGCGAACCAACTCTATTAACTGGAGAGAAGGACTGGTAACCAGACATTGAGAAAGCAGAATTAAATTTGTTATATTTTCCAATACAATTTGTTTGTATATTCAATATTATATTCATATTCAAAATTAAATCTCAACTACAATCCTTTGGATTATTCGCCTTTATTCGTCAATAAAATGTTCACTTTATTGAATAGTTTGACATGAAGTATGGTATAAAATGTATACCAGCAACGCGTGGCCGGACCCACTAGTATGTATGTATAGTAAAATTCAACATTTTTCAGATTCTGCTGATAAACAATTCAAACTCACACGCAAACAATATCAGATAGATTAAAAATGAAGATAAGTGCAGCGCTCATACTGTCACTCAGTATAATTTCCATAAGATATCATAGCACAATGAGCAGTAGCTGGGAACGCATTCGTCTCCGTGTCGAGACCAAAGAGGTGCATATTTGAAATAATTACACTTATTGATTCTTAAACTTAAAATTATCTTATGTATGCTTTTAAGGGTTTCGAGCCGGTTAGCAATAATAGCGTAAGCGCTGATGTGCGCACTATATCCGCTCATATATTGGACACCACAGTGGGTCAGGCTGCAGCAAATGTCAATATTACCGTTTACCGTCTAGAGGGCGAAAATACTTGGCAAAAACTAAGTGAAGCAACCACCAATCAAGATGGTCGTGTGAACCAATTAGTGCCCGCAACGAGTTATAAATCCGGCATCTATAAGTTACATTTCGATGTGAAACCATATCACACTGAACGTGGCATTAACAGTTTTTATCCCTTTATTGAAATAGTAGTGCTCTGTGAACATGGTCAGCGTTATCATATTCCATTGCTATTGAATCCTTATGGCTATACGACTTACAGAGGTACTTGAATGGAAGTATTAAAAAATAAATGGAACATTTTTTTAAGAAACCTATCATTTTCTCTATTTAATCATTCTTCAATATTTAGGATATACCATATATTTTATATATATGTACATACATCGTTAAGTACACGATCACATACTTATGAACGCAAAACAGGTCATCATGAGCAAATATTTTGTGTTGTTTAAGATTACGTTATCTGTTGTCGTGATTTTGATCAGTGTGCCTGCTTTCTTCTCAGAGATAGACGAATAATTTATACTAACAAGAAAATATTTTATATTTTTACAGACTAGCAATGTAAAAAATAGAAAGCATTAACTTCGCCTACACCGAAGATATAAAACCCTTCACAGGTGATTTTTTTATAGCATAAAAGAGTATAAAAATATCTCTTTCACTATTTTGATCGGTCAGTTTTTATGGAGCGATATGCTGAAGTGGGCCGATCTGAACAATGTGTTCGAATGAATAGCTTATATACTAATCTATGCCAAAATTAGTGAAAATATCTTGTCAAATGAATTATTTAAAACTTTTTTTTATCTATAAACTTTAAAGGGTCTCCGCCGTTTCCTTATGGATGTTGCAAAATTAATATACCCTCTCCGGAGTATAAAAACTTAAATATTCGGAGCAAAAATCTGAATGAAGAAATCAAGGCTAACTGTTTGAGAAGGTGCAATTTTGTGTTAACTGCAAAGGAAACATGGTCTTACCTATTATCTTTCTGGCAGAAAGTTACTGTAGTCACATGCACTGCTGTCGCTTGGGTATCCTATATAATTTTTTGAGATTGATTTTCAGAAAAAATTTGTTCAATAGAAGTGCTAAGCCGTTCGAAGAATACTGCAAATAGGTTGTATTTACGACAATTATAGGAAGAAAAGGACATAGCTGGTGATGAGGTGTTATTTGTAGAAAAAAACCTGTAAAAATTTGGTTATTTTCATAATAAATATTTCAGTGTTTGTATAATACGACACTTACCACTTACATTTTTTTTCAAATATTTTAGATGTTAAAATGGCATTTGTCAAAGTCGTGTTTTTCGTATTTCATTTGCTTTCTGCTTTATTTTGTTATAAGCAATAATGATAAATTTCTTTAATATTTAAAATTCCTAATAGTTAATACATACATACAATCAATTGTGTTCAATATAGTGGGAGGGAGGGGCAAAGTTAATTTAAACATAACCATTTTTCTTTAAATATTCCCTTACAAATAATCAAATATTGTAAATTTCACATTTATTAGTAAGTAAAAGCACGCAGCTTCTAGTTGCTTGTTTTCCTTTAAACAATTACACGATCAATGTGTTTGTCAATATTGTGTGTTTGTGTGTATATATATACTATATATATATATAATATGCATATATATAATTTTTGGTTTATGATTTTACTATTTTTCATTTCGATTACAATTTTTTATTTTTGCTTTTAATTTATTACTTTTGCTATAACTTGTTTTTCTGCGTTTTTTCTTTTGTTGTAATAGACTCGTAACAAGAAGTAATGAAAGTGAATATTTTGTACTAAATCAAATAACGCATGTGGAAAACAAAAAAAGTAAATTTCAATTCATTATTTAGTGCAAGGTTTTAAAGTTTTCCAATAATGTTTAGTTCATTTTAACGTTGTCTCTAAAATAGTTCAGCATTTAGCTGTAATCATTAATTTTTAAAGGTACACATATACATATAAAGTCAAGTGTCTTAATTCAATAAATTTTGAAATCACATAAATAATGTAATTTATAAACTAAACTTTTGTTGCAAAAACACTTCTCACCGCATTTGTTGTTTACGATTTAACTTTTCTTCAATAATTAAGCGAAAAGTTAGATTAATTGAAAATAAATTCTTATGTAAAATTGTATTTTGAGAATTACTATAAAATACATATACGATGGTCAAACATGTACATACCTGAACACTGTATAGTTAAAGTTAAAAAAAGTCAACGAATACAAATTCAAAAAATAATACAAGCACGCGGCGTTAAGCAATATAATCCACACATGTCTAGGCACGATAGCAACAAAGTTGCCGACAGTCTGGCAGCACAGTCTCTCTCGCGTTCGTCACTGTCCGTAGTGTGATGTAGTAGCACAACATTCGCTGCTAAACTTACATAATATCAGATTTAACAGCATTTTATGTAGTTAGATGTGTCTCTTATGTAAATAATGATCATTAAAATTCAATTTCTGATGCGAAATAAAATTAAATGATGCACTATATAGGCTTTAGCTCCTGTTTATTAATTTGCAACGCTGGCTGCAATATTTTTGTTCGCTGTCATCAATATGTGCGACATGCTGCTGCTCTCGGCCGCTGCAACGGCCACGGTAGCGCTTGCAGTCGCTGCTGCCGCTGCTGCATTCTGTCTTTGTTGCTGCTGCTGTTGTAGCGCGTCTGCTGCAGCGGATGTTATGGGTATTGGTGCCATCATCCGTGTACTTGAGGCAGGTGTATTTGCAGTGGCAACAGCGATGCCGTGTACTGCAATTGGCTGATGCAAGTTAGTCAATGCTCCATTTGTTATTGTAGTTGCTGCGGCTACATTATGCCGTGTTTTGGGTTGCTGATGCTGCCGTTGCTGCTGCTGTTGTTGTTGTAACACTGTAGCCGTTATGGTGCTGGACGCAGGTGTAGTTGTGACTGCCGTTGCATTGGTGATTGCAGACATCGCCAATTTGGGCGAAATAGTTGAGGCTCCTCCAGTCGTCCAAGCAGCAATAGCCGTTGTGCTGGTGGTTGTGGCTGTATAATTTGGCATATTTGTTGCTATGATTGCGTTGCTTTGTTGCTGCGTGGAAATTGAAGAATAATTTAACTATTAACGATATTTACACATATTTGGTTATTACAAAAAGTTTCGGACTTTGCGATCACGAAACTTTTTAATTCCAAAAAAATGAATGCACTTATGTAAGTTTGTGTACGCATTGATTACTTAATGAAATAGTCATTTGATGTCAATATTTATAAACAAAAGAGTATTGTCTTTGTTCAAATTTGACTTGAATTTATTCAAAATTCAAAAATAAAATTTGCTTTCCTAAATGAGTACCACCTTTTTTTTGGTCTAGACTCGTACGACGCAGTTACCCAACATTCATCAAACGCATTATTACTGATAAGAAGACGTGGGTTTATGAATATGAAGTTAAAACTGTCCAACAATCTAGTGCAAGGAGATCTAAAAATGAGCATCGTCTTCGTAAACTTCACAAATTTCGTTGGTGGCTTGTGTGGAATTCTTCCCTTTTTATACAAAAATTTCACAATATAGCGAATTTCTTCATTATTTTTACTCATTTTTAAACGACTGTAACTTTTTTTCAACTTCCCCGAATTTTAATTTGCAGCTTAAAATCTCACCTTTCTAACACTAAATGGTAAAACACAATGTGATTGGTAGCACTAGCATCTATTTACCAAATACGAAAAGACTTTTCCGACTACCCAATATTTTACAATGATCCATATAATTTGAAGAGTTTCGTGGTATATAGTATTTTTTCAAAAGAGAAGTCATCATACTATATACCGATCGACAAACAAAATCTCCGATTAATTTAAGGTTGCTAAATCATAAAAATCAAATCAGTCTAAATAGTAATACTTAATGCAAATAGAGTTAAATAAGGGAAAACCACGCCCCGTTAACATCAAGCATTCTTTCCATTTTGTCACTAATGAAATAGAATAACTGAAACTTTCGAGCTAAGCTATTATTTGAATCGATTTGTTTTGCAAATAGATTTAGTTTTCAGCAAAAGTACTCAATATAATGATTCTTACTTATTGTAGCATGTTTAATATTTTATAAAATGCGTCCTTCACCTAGTTCTTATTCACTCAAGTGTTCCTTAATAAGTGACTAAAGACTTGCTTTTATATCTTATTTTTGAAAAGAAGATACATATATCATGAATATTATCCTCCGAAATTCATTTTCACTTATACTTAAAAAATTATTTGTTATAGATTTTTCCTAGCTATATACCTGTGCTAATATAAAATGTCTTACGAAAAACTAGTAAATTAACTTCGAAAATTTACCTACCAAAATTAAGTCTCGTTCCTCTCAATGTCTTATTCGATGATTTCATTTTACTTAATATGTAATATGTATGTAGGTGAACCAAATTTTCTCAATTAATGTGTATAGTGTTTACCTCTATTCTCGTTGTTACGGCAAGATAGCAGGGTCCACACAATCTTACGGGTTTAAAAAGCTTTGCATCCGGTAGCGGTGCCCAAAACTCAGAACAGTCGGCACAAAATATTTGCCCACACGAGCTAAACAGAGAAAATAACAAATAAATGTAGATCATATACGGTAAACACAAAGCTTTTTGAAAGGTACACAAAAATAATAATACAAATTATACAAAAAAAAAACCCAAAAACATCTTAACTAGAAAAATAATGAATTGAAAATCAACAAAAAATAAATAAAAAATTATGAACTGCAAACCAAGGCATAATGGACACTACTGATTCATGAACAAAGTGAAATTGTCTCTGGTGTTAATCTTTAGTAATCTTTGAACAGATTTTTTATTCATGTGTCTCTAAGAACTTAATTTTGTTAACAAAATATTTTAACAATACAATTCGATTTAGTAAGTTTATATAAATTTGAAAAACGTTAAGAATTTAAAACAATGAGTTAACTATTGCTTAACATCATATAATGAAAGTAAAAAAATATGTATGTACGTCTTGTATTTAATTTATAATTAGATAATTTGTTATTAACAAAAGCATAATATCGAAAACAAATGATGCCTTCAATTGAATAATTAATGATGATGGATGAGGTAGCATTAAGATTATATTTTATATTATTAATGTATATGAGTCAAAAATCAAACATAAAATAACATAGCAATCATAAAAAAATAGATATAAGTATAATAGTGAAGATTTTGAAAAGAAAAGAAATTAAAAGTGTGTTATATTAATTATTTTATTTATCACACCGGCAATGATGCTTTCTGCGGCCTATCCAGAATTCGACTTGACAGCTGGTGCAGCGTTTCACAGCGTGGTCTGGTACCCAGAGGGCACTTGTGGTGTTCGATTGTTGTATGGAGGAACTAGCGCTAGATGATGGAGCGCTGCGATCTTCCACAGCCTCCCATGAGCATATTGAAGCATTCTCTAAATTATCGGCCGCTGAACACTGTAAAGCAGATAAATTAAACTTTTCATTCTTCAAATTATACTTTGTGGTAAACGTCACGTGATTTGAACAACAATTAAAACGAGAAAACGAGTTGAACATTGACGAAAATTTAATCAGTTTGCAGTAGACATGCGATTAGCCAATTTGTTCTTTATATTTTTTTTTATCGCAAAAAGGTTAGGCGGAATAAACGCACCAAGTGCATATTTGTTATGAGGTTTTGCGAGGTACATATTTGCTAAAGCAAACAGCAGCAACAACAGCAAGTTAGTATAGAAGCAGCGCAGCAATCAAAGGAGTGAAAAAGTGCAACGCGCACAAAGCAAACAAAAGCAGCATTCGTTGGAACAGCACAAAGAACAAACGATTACAAATTGACATATCGATATGCATGTATACATACATATGTATGTGTTACACACCAAGAGTTTTAATTAAAATTAAATTATGTTGAGAACAAATTATCTAGTTCTCGAGGTTAAAATAGTTTTCACGGTGTGAAAACCAAAGAAATTTGATTCAATCAATTTTATTCGAACTGTTTAGATTATTTTATTACATGTTTTCTAGCACTAAGAGCTTTTTATAACCAAATTGGCAAATAATTTTTTAGTTTTCGAAAGTAAAGTATGACTCGGGGTATCAAAATTGGGAAGATCACTTAATTTTGTTCTTCATTTTGAATAATGATTTTTCTTATAAAATGTTTGTAAAAAAATTAAATTAGGCATACAACTATAAAATGTAAAGGAAGGCAATTAAAGTAATTTTGACTTTTAATGTAAGACATTAATTTGGTAAGAAAAATAAGTAGCTATAATCCCCTTATTCAGAAGGTATATGAGCAATACTTTCGACAGACTTTTACATACGACTCTTACATACGTCCCTGAAGTTTAAGATTTTGACATTTTGTATAGTATATTTTTTTATGTTTTGCATTACACTTTTTATCTCCAAAGCAAATATACTTCCAACTTTGAAAATGGGATATTATAATACTAAATTTAGCGCTCTACAAAAAAGTGTTTCATGGGTTTACGGGTTTCAAAAAATTTTCTTATTAAATATTACAACACCTCTAGAATATTGTCCTAAATTTTCAAGATGATCCGAACAATTGATTCGGATCTACAGCCTTGAGAACTTGTGCGCTCGGGGCTAGCTCAAATCTTTAAACGCATTTTTCTCAAAACTATGTTTTTGAAGTCGGTTGGCAAGATTTCTAGAGAACTACTCCACCGAAGTTCATAAAATTTTACACAGGTCTTTGAGATACAATTCTTGAAGACTTTTTTTCGATTAGAACTTTTTTTTTTTTAAATATCTAGAAATTATCACTGAAGTTATCATTTTTCTGTAAAATGTCTGCCAAAAATCCAATTTTCCGCTTTTTTCCTTCGTCCAAATTATAAGTTAAGGTTTTAACTGAAACACGTATTTTATCACTTTAGGTGATTTAGGAGTTATCCTGCCAACGTGGGCTCATTTTTTTTCCAAGGAGTCACCGGAAATGGTGCAGTAATGGCCGAGTTTAAAATATTTTTTTCTAAAAATTTCTTTGTTCATATATCATTTTTTATATGAGAAAAAAATTGTTGAAAAAAGGCTGTTTTTTACCCGAGGAAACCCATGTTAAGAGTTATCCGCAGTTATAATTATGAATCAAATGTACTGTATTCATACCGTCCACCATGTGTTATAAGTGACATATAATTTATGATTCACGTGTATGAATGCTCAGGTAGTTTTTTTTAGTGAAAAAATCATTCAAAACTTTTTTATAAAGCGGTAAATTAATTATAATAATTTTTCTCCAAAGTTGTAGGTTTACTTGTTTGATGCAAAATATCAAAATATCCCATGTTTAATACATGGGAATAGAAACTTTATTTAGACAAGACTTTAAATAGAAAATAAGAAGCTTTTTTGTGTTGGACATTTTTTTAGGACAAACATTGAAGCTTCAAAGGGTGTTTGCAAATACAAAAATAATAAATTTTGGAAATAACGAAAACCCTAATGTGCATATATCGCGTAATACATGTTTAGAATACAAACATACCGATATGTTGCCATAAGCATTTTTCCAGAGAATGTTTATAATAAAGACCTCGCCAATATTAATGAACAGATTTCAGCAACATTGGTGGTACACAGTTAACTTTATTGTCAGATCCATTCCTGATTGTCACGAATTATTTATTTATTTAATTAATAATCGAAAATTATTTGAAATTTATTCGAAAGTTGTTCTAAAATATCGAAACTATTGAAATCTGAAAAATGTTCGTTTTTTCTTGTTAAATTTCCAGACTAGAATACCCACTTAAAATGTTGCTGTAATCTATTACATAATATATGCGTCTTCTCTACTCCGAAAATGGTCGGTATTCACCGTTAAACATACAGTAAGCACTTAAACAATGTAATGAGCGAATGAAAACCGAAGACAAGACTAACCGTTAATAAAGCAATATTGCTATCAGCATAATCAGAATTACAATGACGTCTGAGCAACGTCATGGTGATATCGTTATCGTCGTTAATCTGTATTTTATCATCTTTTTTATAGCAAAGGCTACAACTGAAACTATGATAACGCTTACGTTGGTGGTGACTATTTTGGCAAAGGCAATGGCAATTATGAAAACGATGAGGAAATCGATCACGATAATCAACCGCAGTGTGACAACGAGGTCGTGGTTGCTTTTGCAGTGGCTGTTGTTGTTGTTGTCGATATTGCTGCTGTTGCAATAGTAATTTACATTTTGTACACGATCTCGCATTCCAGCCTTGGCACTTAGTACAATCACGTATTCTACTTCGGCTAACTAAGAGTTCGTCTACCTTAATTGAATAGACATATGTACATACATCAATAGGACTGTGTACTAATGTAAATAAGGTAGATTGTCAACCAAAAACATATACATATGTAGATAAATGGTAAGCTAAGGAATATTATAATCAAAACGGTAAATTCTAAAGTTGTAAAAAATCAAATTTAGCAAATAAAAAGAATAAAACAATTAAAAAATAATAAATAAGATAAATATTAAAAAATAATTTAACCAACAATTAAAAAATAATCGAAATAAAAAATAATAATTAACAGTCGAAAGAAAGAGACTTCTAAAAGTAAATTCAGTTTCTCCTTAGACTTTCAACTTAATATCACTAAACAAATTTTTTAAATATCGAAATTATTTCTTATATAGTACGAATAATGCCACTGAATTTAGCAATTTTGTAAATGCGAAAAATTGTGGAAATAATGTTTTCTGTTAAGCTAAATATAAATTGTGATGTTCTGATGCATAATTTTCCTTTCCTTAAAAAATGAATAACAAAATTTCACCTTTTTCAATCAAATAAAATCCATGCTCTTCTCACTGTCACTTTTTATCATCATCATCCTACAGTTTGTTGCGCAGTGTAAAAGTATTATGAGTAATTCAATGTTGACTTTAGTTTCTTACCTGTTCTTCGTTCTTATCACTATTTTGAGCGGCATTGCAATTTGGACATCTTTTCCTTCGTAGCTCAATTTCCATATCATGTATTTCTTGCAATAGAATATCCTCTCGTAACTAAATGAAAAGCAAATCTTTCACTATAACAAATATCTTTCTATAAGACTACCAATCACTAGCTTCACTTACCATATGTTCTTGCACAATTTGATGTAGACGCATATTTTGTTCGCTCAACGCATGCGCCAAACCGTCAGGGCAGGAATATAACAGATGAGGTCGTTCCTGACGGGGAGGCGGTGACAACGGTAAGGAGCGTATACCAGGCCTACGGCTACCCGTAAAGAAATAACGTACGCTACAAAATAAGTCAAAGAGTATATAGTATGATAAAATAAATAAATAATATAGTCATCCGAAATCTCACCTTCCGTCTGGTTGCCGCATGTGAAATCCATCATATTGTCGATTTGAATTTGAAGGGCGTCGACGGCGTTGTTGTCCGTTTTCCTCACCACTAGCGCCATTACCATTGGCTCTGCTAGCATTATCACCACTACCACTGGCACCACCATTGCTACCATTATCATCACCACGACCGGCACCATCACCAGCACTACCACCGGCACCACCAGTACTGGAACCACCACTGCCGCCACTACCTGCACTACCAGTGGCACCACTACCACCGGCCCCACCACTATTTTGTCTACCGCCTTCAGCGCCTCTACCATTCCAAAAATTTTCACTTCTACTGTTTTGGCCACTTGCACGACTAGTACTTGGCTTTTCATCAGAGCCTGTTGGGGACGTTGGTAAGGACGAGCCATTATTCGAGATAGCCTCACACTTGCCACTCACAGATATTTGCAATTTTCGATGTTCTGGCAAAATCATGATGCTTTCATTCATGACATCAGTTGAATTTGCTTGCGCGCCTGTATTAGCAATACACGGTTCTACATCTATTTCAGCAATATCATTTGCGCTTTGATCTGTGGCTGTTGTCATTGTTGTTGCGATGCTGTTATTGCTATTACTGTTCGTATTATTCATGTTTGTATTAAAATTATTGAGTGAAGACGATGTTGACGAAACGGAGGCATTACTAGATGAATTTGACAAGATATTTGCACGATTCGAGCTACCGTTTGTGCAATGAACATTTGGCATAATACTGTTACTAACGCCGTTGGCGGGACGTCTGTTTTCATTGTTGCCATTACCAGTTGAAGAATTTTGTCGCTGATTATAGAAGACGTAATGACAACCACAATCAAATATTAATAGAAACAGTTTAACGATAATTTACCAATAAATTACCTCTTGTTTTAAAAGAACATACGGAGAACTTAAGCCAAGCTCTTCTTTGTCCGCCGATGTAGACAGTTTTTCAGGTGTATGAAATCCATCTGTAACATCGACTCCCACTTTTGGAGGCGTGGATGGTAGTTCATCCCCATTAGTACTTGGTCTTCTTTCGATTGGTACTAAAGTATCTGTGCTGGTGCTGACAGCGCCATGCCAATGTCTGCCCAATGCTTCATCCATATTGTGGCTTGCATCTGAAAAAGAGTTCACAAAATTTCCATATTATTTTTTTTTCTTACTTTCTTACTTTTTTAACTGAATATTTCATTCAACATTTTAAAAAGAAATGCAATTAAAAAAATGATTTTTTTAAACAGGAAGTGCATTTCCTTCAATGTTCAAAAGTTTATAACATTATAATTTTACTCACCACTCAGTTCTACGCTTATCAAAAGATCCTCGTTTGTATTTGATTTAAATTTTTTTTCGCCGCCTCCCGAATCACTTATATCCTTGCTACTGTGGGCAGCATTTGTATTGCCATTTTGGTGCTCGATACCGTTAGCCTTAGGCTTAATGTCATTTGAATTATCATTTTTTTCATTGTGTCTTGGGAGCTCATTTTTATTTAAAGCTGAAAGTTGACTGCTCTTGTAGTCTATAGTCACTACAGTATTCGCAATAGGTTCATTCAATTCTCTGGGCTGCGTATAACTAGTTTGTGGGTCCTCTGTAGTGTTTGCGGCATCCACAAAGCTATCTTCATCGCGATTATTTGGCTGGATGGTGAGATTCTCAATTCCCTGCATCATTTCAACAACATTATCGGGCAAATCTTCACGTTCGGATTGTGTATCGGCGTTGGAGTTGTTTTCAGAATTTGTAGCCATTGTTAAACTATAAAAAAGTTAAAACAATTTTAACGTTGGAAACAAATTATTACAGGGAAGAATTATTATTTAACTAAGTAATTATTTATTGAATCTGCTTACATAATTTAAATAACAACAAGTTTGAAAATCTTAATAACTAATGAATTACTTCTTTAATCTATTAATAGAAGTGGACGATAGATAGAAAGTTGCTCATCAAAACACTGGCAAATTCCATCTCTGAAGACGTGATCGGCTAGCTGCACAGGATAAGATTTTCTGTAGAATATTAGGATGATTTTACATTTAATGGCTACTAGTAGCGCAGGCAGAACTAAATAATTGTATACCATGCTTCCATATTAGATTTATGACTGAATTTTATAAAAGGACCACAAACAAATCATAGGTTTGAGTTTTTACCCAATTTATACTAGCGGTTTTAAGTTTTAACTATCGTATGTTTGCAGAAATGTGGCACTTCCAAGTCAAACGTATATCTAGGTGAATGCTACGGTATTTAACTTCGTATGTTTGACGGATCACTACGTTGTTTAATTTCAGTGTTTGGCCTTTAGAGTGAATGTGACATGTTTACACTTTTGCTCGGTCAATTTTTTGTAATGACGGCAGCGTTAAGTTTTTTCCCGGTGCGACTTTTTCTTTTTTTGTTTTTTTTTTTTTTTTTTTTTTNTTTTTTTTTGAAAAATATCCAAAGTTTAGAATGGCATTGAAAAGTTGAGATAAGAAATTAAAAGCAATACTTAGTAACTCTATTAACATTTGTAGTATGTAGTCGTAGTCAAGGGACTTCTTTTCATTCAATGTTTTTGCTATAACTTTATCTCAGAACAAGTTGTACACACTGTATGGTAAGACAAAGATGGGATTGATATTGTTGAATGCCCTGTGCGGTTGAAATACTTCGCAAATATTATCTGCAAAACAGTTTGCATGTTCCTCTTAAGAAGAGGCCCAAGCACCGTTTGTTGGCCTGAGCGGTCTGTCAATTTCTACTGGTGGCTTAAAGTTTAAAAAATACACCTTTTTAAGTGCGCTTCTTCTAAACTCTTCTTCCTCAGCAATTTTTAATTTCAATTTAGATGATGAGATCGATTATTCTGTCTCGGCGCAGGCTTCGTTTTTCGGTTAGAAGACGTTCAATTAGGCTGTTAGTGGTTCGTATTGTACTTCGGAGACAACTTCGGAGACGACTGTTCCTACAGTAGCCACTGTTGATAGCAAACAGTTGAATAAGTTAATATTGCCCTCCGTATCCATTTCACATAAAACTTTACTTTCCTCTTGCATGTGGGTGCTAAGATATTTCAAGACTAAGATAGTACAAGACTCGGGCCAATGTGTTCTGGGCGTTTCACAACAACATTTGATCATGACTGAGGAATGATCGGAAGATAAGTCGGAGTCGACTACCGATTGGTTATTCAAGATTAAAGACGGAAACATTAATATTTCTTAAGGTTACATTTGATATTTGAGTTTAAAGGCATACTACTTGTTTTACTTATTCTCAGAAATTTAAATTTGTGCAAGAAGACCGGCAAGTAGTAGCACCAAAGAAATTTGTGTCAACAGAACACAAAAAAGACATCGCTCAGTTTTGTCATAAACGGTGGCATATTTTTATGTACTCAAAAAACCCCCCATTTCGAAAGCCAAGCCCAAATTGATGATATGTTAGGGAAGTTTAATTAGGTACACTTACTTCGGTTCCACAGTCATGTTTGGATCGCTGGAACGTCGTGAGATGCCACTCTGCATTATGTTAGCTGACACTAAATCGCCGTACGAACGCGTCTTAGTCATAGGAGCTATAAATATGATTCATACATTCTTAGTTGTACGTTACTACAAATTATTAGTAATAAACTTACTTGTCGTTCCCTGCAAATTTTCGTTGCTATTATTTACGAATTCAACGCTATTTTGATTTCCCAAACTTCCTAAATAAACTTCAGTCCATAAATGCAGATCTCGTACATTGTGCGCTGGCCAAATAACCTGAGAAAAAAGAGAAATAGTTTCATTAACCAACATTTGATTATTCGTATATTCAGAAATAAGCTTACCGTATCTTTATTTGGTAGATAAAGTGGACTTTTATACATCGGTCCGGATAGGAAAGGCCATACTGAGTAAGTACGCTCAAACACCGACTTTTCGCAACGCTCCTTGTACGTGTTACATAGGAAGGTGCCGAAAAGACATGAATGTGAATGTTGTGCTAATTTGATCTGTTGTGAGAAAATGAATACGTTAGTCAATAAATTAATAAAGTAAAATTGTTGTTATGCAAAAATTTACCAAGTAAGCCATGTTGAATTCAAAACTGCAAGGAAATTGTTTGTGTATTTGATGTACCAAATCTAACCACTGCAGGAAAACTGGACAACGTTCATTCAGCTCATCCGAACCAGGACCATGGCCACAACGATCTGAGAATTTATGGCCAAAACTTAACCATTCACGTTCGACTAATACGCGGAAACCCTAAAATATATATAGAATATATATATATTCATTGTAATAGTCACTATTTTCTTTTTACTGGCTTAATTACCTCTACAGTGCGGTAATACGGATCCAAGCACAATTGTGCTGTGGCCACAATTTGTGGCGTGCGATCCCAACCATCCGAACAGTGCACCAGCACTGGCCGCCCCTTCTTCTCAATAGCATGACAAACAGTTATGGTAGCGGCCAATAGCCCAGAGAGATGCTGCAACCAAAATGTTTTCTCGAGCGAGCCTAGCCAACTGCCAAAAAAACATAAATAAATAAATATAAAATGCTCATTTAATACGAAAATTTCATCGATACTTACTTTTGACTATCTGCTGGCGAAGCACAGAGTTGTCTTAACGCTTGAAAGCTCCTACGTATAACATGTATGTTACCCAGATTCATGAACTCGATTTCAGCCGACGGATAATATTCAATGCATTCGCAACCACCACCACGTGCACGATTCGTTACCGCGGAAGCATAGCTGCGCGCATCAACAATCAGGACTTTCTAAAACCGAAATCGAGACAAGGATACATTGGAAAGTTTTTAAACAATTTGTTGAATGCGCAAACCTGCACTTCATCCATCGTGACTTCCTCATGACTGCCGTCAGTGCTTGAGGGCGTACTCTCACTTGGTGTCATTCTTCGTCCCGTCGTGTTGATAGACTGACTTTGGCGACGCATTTGTTCACCTCGATCGAATGCACACGCCTCACTCAAAGCTTTGAGTAATTGTTCGTCTGTGTTATTACGCCAACCGAACCAACCCACTTCGGGTTGACTGCAACGTGCAATCACTGCACCGGATTTTTTGTGACGCCACACAACGGCTGGCAATCGGCGCGATCCACGGAATTTCGCCACTTCGTAAAGCATGTCATCCGAAATGCAGGCCGGCACCAGTAATCGCTGCGGGTATGACGGACATAATTTGAATTCTTCATTCGTTTTGGAAATACGCCACGTTCCGTTCAAATCGAAGCCAAGTCGTACGACTTCGCTCATAAAATCATCGTCTGCACGTTTAGCGCGCTGTAAGCGTTCCAGGTACTCGGGTGAATTATAAGCTTCGCTTTGCATATTTATTGCATCACTCATGTACGAGTGGAAGGGAAATGCGAATAGCGATTCTAAAGTTTCTGGCACGCCGACGCATAACTGAATGCGTCGCAGCCATTCGGCGCACTGTTCAGCTGTTTCAAAGGAACATTTAACGGTGCTAGCGTCCTTGCAATTGATGATTAGATGAAACAGGTCACGTATCTGTAAGCCTTCGATTAACCCTAGTGGCACGGATGTCTCCGAGTTTGTAGAGTTTTTAAGTATAAATATACGGTATGTTGAGAGCGATAAAATGCCATCATCAGTACGTCCTAGATATAAGACGAATTCCCCTGCAACTATAGGTTTATACAAAAATTTAAAGTTAGATTTTTATTTTAGAAAATTTGTAATAAAATTAATTTTATTGTACTTACGTTCCTGATAGGGTACTTCCAATTCTGCATCTTCTTTTTCCATGTTTAATCTTGGGAAAAACTCAGTAGCGCGTACAATACACAAGGAAGGTGGGGGTGATCCATCCGTTCCCTCCATTTAGCTATAAAGAAAATAAGAAGAGATTGTTTCAATTGAAACTTTTTATTAGACGTTTTTTTGGATCTATAATTAATGTTACTGCGGTTTGCCAAAAGATGGCGTAACTTGATTATTTTTATATTGTTCCAATATTCTGAATAAGTACTGGAAAGCTACTGTCCTTGATCGTATTTTGAGAGTCTGTCATTCAAATGAAGGATAAAAAAATGTTGTTTAAATATTTCGACGTTTGTACCTGAAAAAGAGGGTTTGCGGAGAATTCTTATTCATTTTTTTAATCTGAAGAAAATCTCAACCGAAGTCTTTTTTTTTTTTTTTGTAGAAGTTTATGGTGAGCTACTAAGCGAACGTGGTTTGCACGATTTAAAAGTGGTGATATTGGCTTGGGAGATGAGGAAGTGACCGCAAGCAAGCGATGAACATTGCTGCCAAACATAGAAAGAGCTCAAGAATTAAGAGGCCAGCAGATGGATACTTTCAAAAGCTATGAAATATCGCATTGCCTCGCTAGCGCCTAGTAGCCTACTGGACTTCATCRATGGRCTGGGGCTAAGTGAGGCAATGTAAGGAAGGAGAGGGCACAATAGACCAAAGGTCGCAGTGCATACCTCATTATTATCATTCATTCATTCATTCAAGCTATGAAATTGGGAGCCATGTGAATTGAAATGGCAATGAAAAATACAGACACCTCCTAAAGTGTTGACGCAGGTACTAGAGTTATAGTACAGGGTTTGTCCGGAAAATATTGATTTTCTTCCATGTGAAACTCGGTACAACTGCATTAGAGACGTTTAATATGATCAAGCAGGCTTACCCAGATGTTGCTTTAGCAAGAAGAGTTGAGTTTTGGTGGCACCAGACCTTTTCGGAGGGCCGGGAAGAGGTCGCTGATGAAGGCCGTGCTGGGAGACCTGCCACTTCGACCAACATCGCCAATGTGACTCGTGTACACAAAGTTTAGAACTTAGACCATCGACTAAGTATTCGTTTCATTTTCCAGATGTTAAATGTATCAAAATCTGTGGTTCATGTCATTGTAACGGAGCACTTGAAAATGCACAAGGTGTGCGCGAAAATAGTCCCAAAAGTGCTCACTGAAGGACCAGCAATTGCGGCAAGTGAAAGTGTACCAAGAAAATTTGAACATGTGTGAAAGTGACCCGCAATTTTTGAAAAACGTAATAACAGGTGACGAGTGATGGATCTTTGAGTATGATCTCGAGACAAAGAGACAATCTTCCGACGAAAGGCAAGCGTTTTGAGACAACAGGGGAGGATTCAAGCAGCATGCACCTCGGCTCTTAAGGTTATTCCCGAGAATCCCATCCGTGACGTGTTCAATGATTGGAAATTGCGCTGGCGAATTGTAACGAATTGTCCTATTACTTTCCGGACAAAACCTGTATACTCTCTATAAAATAAGTAGAATCAAAACGTCTCTTATAAGGTATTCTTCTTACTGATAATAAGATATTAAGGAAATCTGTGAATTATATGTAAAAGCAATTGGCAGAAATAAAATTCAAAATATTTTTAAAAATCAGAAAACCTCAAAAATCAGAAATATTACGGGAAATTGTTAAAAATTTAATAACTTAAATAATTCAATAAATAATAATAAAATAATAAATTCAATAAAGTTTTTCAACTTAAAGCTTTCAACATGATTTGTGAATAAATTTTAAGTGAAACTATAAATTTAACTACATTTTCATCGCACACGTACCAAATACTATCACTAGCCATGCACGTGCTTACACATGGGTATACACTTAGTTGTAGACAATTTAGACACTGAGATATTTACAAATTCATTCAGCTACTAAAAATGCAGTTGACACATTTCATAACATGCAGTAGAAAAAAGTGTGTAAGCAGCTTACAAATTTTATAACTAATTTTCCAAACAAAATTCAATAAATTTTCTTTTTAAAACTTGTCGAGTGAATATGTCACACTTCAAATTTGATGGAAAAGGATAATGATTTTCATGCGGGAAGGGAAATTAAAATTACGCCACACATTTTTCATGTCTGCATTATACACACGCAAGCGAATATAGTCTGTATCTAGCACAGTGGATTGTGCCGCGGCGAACAGGAACATGCGACCGTAAAAGTGACACGCAGGACGAAAGTATAAAAGCATAGTAGGAAGCTAGGAAATAAGCTTTTTCTTATCTATATTAAATATATTCCTTCAATTATTGCGTCTAATTGATAAAGGAAAAAGCTTAGACACTGTTATAGCAAACAACTAAATTGACTTTAAAATTAGTTATGCGATTACTTGAAACTAATTTATAGGGGTCTATTAAATGTGGACTTTCATAAGTTGTTGGTGGTGGTATGTTTTATTAAACCGACCTACCCCACACCGAAATTATCACGGCAATTCGTTGATGTACGCGTAAGAAATTGTAACAAACATTGAATATAGTATATGTACATATGTATGTATGAACGTATTTAACTAAAAGTATATACTATGATTTTGTTAATATTTTTGTATAGTTATTTTAAAGCAACTGAATGATTTAGTTACGAAGCGTCACGCGACCAAGTACCAACTGTAGTTGACTAAAAGCGGTGACAGCGATTACAACCGTAAATGGCGTAGCCGCAATCGTAGTAATCGGAGACAAACGAAGACCCAATATACATACATATATGTACGTATGTATATACACATATTCAAAGTATTGTAGATATGCACGTATACAAAATCGCACTATACACGTGAATATACATATGTATGATATGGATAGTATATGGTCATATATTTGGATGTGCAAGGTATGCTGGAATATGAGTAGTGGCAATGGCAACGCTCTCGTTCTCATAGTGGAGCAGCGGGTATCCAGTGTCGCCGTTTGTGGAGTCAACGTTTCCACCAAGTTGCTGGCAATGGCCGATACACTCGAGAAAGTTGTATTGTAGGTACTATGAGACATGATATATATGTACATATGTATATAATACATACTATGTCTACAAATGTACTGTTGTATGTAAAATAAAGACAAAAATTCTAGATTTAATAAAGTATTAGAAGCAATAAAAGTTATTATAAATACTATGTACTTAACAGTTGAATGATTAGATAAAAATTATATACAATTTATGTAGATATATCTATATGAAGCCTATACTATATATAGTCAGGTATATTGACAGTTATTTCGTGTGTCTTTTCACTGCGTATGATGTAGTAGATATTTTATCCAATACTATGTAAAAGAGACTAGAATAGTGTATACGCGAAATGTGAAGAAAATATTTAAACTTTTTTATTCAGTATCTCGAAATATAATCGGCAAGTTAAAAATATCATATTTTTTGTATAGCAAAGCATATCTTTTGCAAAATTTTACTCTATGTTGAATAGGTAGATCGATTATAATGTGCTTATACCGATTACAGGGTTAAAACAGCGCTTATAACGGTATTCCAACTTTTCGATACCGATTACCTTAACTTTCAAATAGCCAGTGTGGCTAAATTACTTTCAAGTGAGCAATGATCTTGAGGTCTGAGAAAAAGAAAAAATTGATTCAGATCTGGAGAATACGAGACGAGTTCGAAGACCAATTTGTGCAATTTTTTAATCGTTTTCATTAATTTGTTATAAAGGGTCTATCAGTCGATTGTGCCAAATATTCATAAACTTTAATATGATCATTTGATGTTCTTGGAGTGTTAGCTATCTCGATAAACTTAATATTAGGATTGTCTTGCAATATTAAGGTGAAATCTGTAATTTTTCGCTCAGTTAGCGAATATGATCGATGAGGATTTAGGGGGGCGGTGTGGAGAGTGTTAGGTTCCGTCCAGCGAGAAAACGAAAAAAGTCGAAACATAGGCCGTTTACTTTTGAGCGTATGCCATCAATTTCTTTGCCTGATTTTACTTTCATAGAGTTCTTCGTCTACACGCTCATGTGACCTACGAATAAAATATAATAGCGCCTTTTTAATGTATGTCCATAACTACTAAATATGAGGAAGATAAGAGATTTTGATTTCTTCGTATGTTTAAGATTGCAGTCCGAGCTTTCTATGTAATCTTATAACACAAAATGTGTTAAAATCCCATTCAATTCCTATAAAAATATCACTTAATCTCCTTCGAGCCGGATTTGAACCAGCGACCTATGGATTTCTATATTTGCACATGATTAACTCTACAGTCCACCGCTCTACCAACTGAGCTATCGAAGGTTTCCCGGTAAATTTAAACATTTTTGGGTGCTTTTCGAAATAAATGAATAAATCAGATATTTACAAGTTACAGTAATGTAGCGAAATGTCGCCCTTTGATAACTGGTCGCAGCAATATTTTATTTATATTACTATACTATATTACTATATATTTTACTTTTTGATTGCTTTTGTCTGTAAAATAAACTACTATATTATAAAAAATTATACAGCGCACAATCCTTCGAGCCGGATTTGAACCAGCGACCTATGGATATCTACGTTTGTAAACTATTCACTCTACAGTCCACCGCTCTACCAACTGAGCTATCGAAGGTACATTATAAGAAAGATGCATTATTTCATGGATTACTGGTCATTCTACAAAATAATACTTTCAAACCCAGAAAACATTGATTTCTTATTAAATATATACATATATATTATTTATACTTAAAAGAAGCATAAAATAATATTCATTTTACTTTATCCTTCGAGCCGGATTTGAACCAGCGACCTATGGATGTCTACGATTATTTACGAATCTCTCTCTTCTACAGTCCACCGCTCTACCAACTGAGCTATCGAAGGTTTTGAATTCGAGTGGAATATATATTTTTATAAACACAAAAGCAGAAGACCCCAAAATAAATTAATTTTATCTCTTTCAGCGATTTCGATTATATATTGTTAAATTGAATAAAATCTGCATAGCAGCATTATCAAAAAATGCCGATCAACCAGTTACTTAATTGCTTAAAAATGCGTGAAGATTCAGTCAACTTTGGAGCACAAACATA